CTCATCTTGTCGCCTGCCTGGCTTAAATTCTGTGCTGACAGTTTGGAGCTGTTACAGCAAATTGCAGTTCCACGGCAGCAGACAGCCACCAAATCCTGCAGAATAAAACATGACAATCAAGCCTTAAAGGGAGTGGGGGGATTAGCCCTCTGCCTCCAGGGAAAATGTCATGTCCCAAGGAGAAACTGCCCCACGAGCAGGAGTGCCCACGCATCCTGCGGAATTAGCGGCCCGGAGAGGAAGGATCAGGGATGTGAGTCTGGTTCAAGGGATTAGCTCACCAATGCTGCTGGAGAGACAAGGTCTGCCCCCGGTGCTGCCTGCCAGGGCCTTGGTCTTAGACCAGGTGTGCAGGTGACTTTGCAGGGGCAGCTCCTGGGAGGTTCTACAGCTTTGTTTTTTTGGCACGGGACAAATGCAAAGCCAAGCTGCTTAAGGAGGGAAAATACCACAGGCAGCTGCAAGCAGCAGCAGCAGCACTTGGGGTAGGAGCCTCAAATCCACGGGAATACAAAATGCTTTTTTAATTTGCTTTTAAAGCAAATGCTGTGCAGCACAAATTAATTCACGCCCGAGCACTAAAGCATCTCAGCTTATAAGCCTTTCTTTGGAAACAGTTATATTCAGCGATCTGAACCACTCCTCCTCCTCCATCTGCTCCGAAAGGATGAACAAACAAGCCCATTGCTGGGAGAAGGAAGGAAGGAAGGAAGGAAGCAAAACCCGTTCAGCCATCTCCGAGGGGAAAAAAACCGTGCCAGCCCAAAAGAGCTCTTCCCCCCCCACCACACCACCTCCAAAAAAAAATTAAAAAAATTAAAAAAAAAAAAAATATATATATATAAAATTTAAACAGATCCCAAACCAAAATACTCTCCCTGGATGGGGCTCCCCCTCGCTCCTCGCACGAGGAGCCGAGCGCTGGTCACACGCGGCAACAGGTTCTGCTGCTCCAGCTCCCTCCCACACTCCGCAAAATGGGACGAGTCAAAGTGCCGGCCTGACTCATCAGCCACATGATCCGAGGCTGGAGCTAAAAAGAGGGAACTGGTTTACTCACTGTCTTGGGTACAATCTGTTTCTTGGGCTGCCCGATCTTGAACGGGATCCTGGAAGAGAGAGAGGAGAGGGGAAGGTGTGAGCGGCGACGCCGCCGGGCTCAGGCGGCTCCGAGGGGTTTGGGGGGAGCAGGGATTGTCCCCAGGCACTTTGTGGGCAGTGTGGATACCCTGGAGAGGGAAAGGGTGGAAGAGGAGCCTGAGGAGAGACCTGACAGCATTCCACAACGAGGGGCAGCTCCGATCTCTGCTCCCTGTGAGCAGGGACAGGACCCTGGAATGGCTGGAGCTGTGCCAGGGCAGGCTCAGGTTGGACCTCAGGGAAAGGTTCTTCCCCCAGAGGGTGGTTGGGCACTGCCCAGGCTCCCCAGGGTTTGGTCACGGCCCCAAGGCTGCCAGAGCTCCAGGAGGGTTTGGACAATGCTCTCAGCACAGGGTGGGATTGTTGGGGTGTCTGTGCAGGGCCAGGAGTTGGACTCTGATCCCTGTGGCTCCTTCCAACTCGGGATATTCCATGTGATCCTATGATTCCCCAAGAGCCACTGTGACCCCTAAGGTCAGCACCTCCAGCCCAGCACCTTCCCCACCCTCCCACCACCCCAAATAAATGCAAGGATACTCCACAAACGGCTGAAGAACACCCTCTGCTTAAAAACAAACCTGACAGGGAGGATGAAGCAATAATGAAAACCCCAAACAAACCCTGTAAATATTTAGAAAGAGGATATTAAAAAAAAGGAACAACCTGGGTTGTCTGGAGCTGTGAGCTGCTTCAAAGGATTCCTCTGCTCCAGCAGCTGGAGGAGCAGCTCACCTGCCAGCAGAGCCTTCATTCTTAAAATCCTTAATTCCCAGGAAAATCTGGGTTACCTGAATGCTTTTCTCGAAGGTGAAGAGTACTCTAAATAAATTACACAACATATGTAAGGGTGGCTGGGTCAGCTGGGTACAGCCACGCTGCCGGCCTGAAAATAATTGGATTTCTTTCACCTAGCAGTATAATGAAAATCCAGGAATTCCACTGCTGTTTTCGGTGTATTTAATTAAGTTAAAGAGGTGCTGCTTGGTTAAAGCCTCTCAGCCAAAATCTCCCAATATTTCTGTGTTGTGGTGGTTTAACTAAACGGAAAAATCCGGGCTCATAATGAAATGTTTCATAATCAAATCAAAGTATTTTTTTCCCAGAGATGCCTCACCTAGAGCTCAGCATCATCCCATCCCATCCCACCCCATCCCATCCCAAATCCATGTCAGGTGCTTCCCAGGAAGGTACCCAAGTCCCCTCCTGGACCAGCTCAAATTCTCACACTGATACCCAAGGTTTGACCTAAAAAAACATGGATTTTGGGACTCTGGCTTGGCCTCTGCTCCTGCTGCCTCCCAGCTTGGCTTTTCCCACTGCTGGTTCCCAAACCAGCTCCCCTCCCAAGTGCCCCCACGCCAGCACTGCTCCAACATTGATCCATCCAACTGGACCCCCAGGAAACATTTTTCCCAGTGTGACTTGCTGCAAAACCCAACTCTGAGCAATGGGAGAAAAGGTCTGTGATGGAGCAAACCAAAAAAAACCGGGATTATCCAAGGCCCTGATCCCTCCCAGCCTCGCTCTTCCCGCCTTCCCTGCTGTTTTCAAACCACCAGTGTAATTACCCACCGGGAATAATCCAGGGTTGCAACCCCTGTGTCCCTTCCTGAGCAGCTCCGGAGCCAACCTGAGTCACCCAAGGTTTAAATTTAAATTTTTCTGGAAGAACTTCCTGTTTATGGTTCCCCGGTTGGACCGATATAATTTCGGGTTTAACCCTTTCCAGGCTCCCTGCGGCAGCTGAATCACACTTCTTTTATAAACAAACACCCCTCTGGTGTATAATTTCCCCGTCAATAAGTGGGGGTGTGGTGCCTTACAGGAAGAAAACAAAAAATAGACGGATTTTTTTTTTTTTCTCCTTTCTCCTTTCGTGTTTTCCTCCTTGGGTCAAAATATAAACTCAAATGAGGCACCACACACAGCCAGGTGCCGTCACCAGACGCTTTTGGAAGTGATGGCATCCACTTGTCTTGGAGGAAGGAGGAAAAAAAAAAGGGGTTTTTTACCCAGGGGAGTGTTATCCCAGTTAAAACCAGTTTGCAGGAGCTGGAGCCAGGCTGGTTCTCACCGGGAAAGGACAATTAAAAAGGTGATTTAAAGCGTTACCTGTGCACAACCTTCCCCTTCACTTTGTCTGGGGGATTCAGAGAGCAACCCAAACTGGCACTGGCCATGGTTAAACTGGGTTAAATCAAGGGAATTCTGGTGGTAAGAGGGATGTGGGACGGGGAAAGCTGAGAATCAGCAGCAGTTGGGTATCACAGGGCTGGGAGCACAGGTAGGGAAGGTGGCAGGAGCACAAGGGGCTTCCATCCCATCCCATCCCATCCCGTCCCATTCCCCATCTCTGCAGCACCAAGGAGGGGAGTGAACCCCCAAAATCCCAGCCACTTTCTTCCAGGAGCAAAGGGAGTGCTGCAGATCCACTGTGCAGCAGTAAATACCTCTGTGAGTGTCGTGGTGCCACTTGGTAATTATG